ACTACAATAGCAGAAAGTTTCAAACTAATTAATATTTTAAAAAAGTATAATAAACCTATACAAAGAAAGTTTCCCCATTAAATGCAATATATATATCCAAAAATGTAAACCCATTTCAAACACACATGTGTTTAAGTTACTAGCTTTTAACAATTTTAATTTAGCCATTTCAAACGAATTCCATTATCAGAATAAAACAAAAACAAACCACATACACCTGTATTTTAGATCTATTTAAAGTTTTATTGAATTTGAATTGAATTAGATTTGCATTTAATTTGAATACTGTTTGACAAGGTAACTAAAACGAGTTAATTTGTAATTTGTTTACTAAACTTTAAGCTGTTATCAAATTAAACACGTTTTAGCATTGGCTCACTGCAAGATTAATTAGAATACCATTTAGAAGTTTTAGCTCCATATGATAAATGTTTCCGCTAATCATATATATATTTCATTAGTCCAAACTCGTATTCCTTAGCCACTGTAACCATCGTGATCAATTGAAAAGTTGCATCCAGCAGCCGCTGATGATCACAAATGCGCTCATCATTCTCTAATCAAAATGTTTATAAACGTAATTAAATGTTTGCTCTGTGGACAACAACTATCAATTGTTCGTTATTTATACAACTGTCGCCTTATAGGGTAAGACATCGATGTCAAAGCCGCCTATCAGCGGATCGTCTATTGAACCCCAAGTGGCCGACGGAGTGCGAGTCCATGAAATGATCGTTTTATTTCATAATTAGTATTTCCCTCGAGCATTGATTTTGTAATTTATGTTAATTAGCCAGGCGTTTTTCTACGGAAATATGAATATTGTATAAGCTTTGAGGTAGTAACAAAATTTCATGCCCTATGAGTTGGCCGAGAATTTCTACTAAAGTGTCGCGGCGTCTATGGTTTTGTGTGTTTTTCGACGCAAAACGTTAAGTGAGCCGGTTTCCGTTTCTGTCGAACTGTTATTTTCTTTTTTTTGCTATTCATAAACAAGTTTAGTGTTTTGGCCAGTGGATTTCACGGCTCTTAATTATGCGTTAGTGGATTCTCTCATTGCTTTAATGGGGTAATAAATGGCTGCAATTATTTATGCGTCACACCCAATCGATTTCTAATAGCCGCAGGGTATTTTCTCTACCCACTCATCTCCCACAAAGGAATTTGTCTGGAAATAATAAAACATTTTTTTTTTTACAATTCCCAGGCCTTTGTAACCCGCTGAGTTGTTCAACTACTGGTTTTTTGGCAGGTCATTGAAAGCCAGGTTTTTTTATGAATGATGAGATTAGAACCAGGAAGTAAGATAAATTACAGAGTTTTATGGATTACCTGTGTTACGTTCATTAACGTAAGCTCATTCCGTTGTCAACTAAAATTAGTTAGACGGAATATCTTTCTGGTTAATGACCTGTCTTGTCCCGAAAAGATATCTCACTTTGGGGTGTAGCAACTATATTTTCCAACTCAGCTTCTGTGGGACTTAATGATGCCTCCGGTGAAAGATCAAACAGTCAGGATGGGGCGACACCTTTCTAACTTCATCAATCATGGCAAATGCTTCCGCTACAAGAACCCCTCAGATACTAAGATACTACACAGAAAAAAAGATTAGCCTGATTTAAACTTATGCTTTTTGGTGTAACCAGATTTTTTCCGTGTGAAGAAAGAGCTAGTTAATTTAAAATCAAATTCATTTTAGTTAATATAACCTAATTATATTAGAAATATGTTAAATTTCAAAGAAATTCGACAGATATATTATTAAGCTAAATTTAATATAATGGTTTTTTATCGGGGAAGTTCATTTAGTGATTCAAGTCTCAGCGCGTTGTATTCACTTTGTACATTATTTGTACAATCCAGAGATATTTCTAAGCCCGAAACCTTAAAGAGACCAAGTCAAACTGAGGGATTATCAAATTGATCATGACATATAGCAGCATTTTTCTCAGTACAGGTGTAAGTTCGCTTATCGGGCGTCCACACAGATTTTGATTCGGAATTGGACTTGGAATCGGCTTCGGGTTGTTTGGGTGTTGGAGCAGACTCGTTACGAACTGGTTTTCGAGCTGCTAAGCAGTCACTACTTATATTTATTAATTATCGTATCGATAGCTCTCTCGTTTGAGCTAAGCTCCGGGCTAGAAGCGAAAAACGTCTAACAACAAATGTACACTTGGCATTGTGTTTTGGTTTTCTAGTTTTTCAGTTCTTAGAGGTTTTTTTTTTTTTGGGTGGTTCTCTGATTGGTTTGGCGGCAGGGGCAGCGTTCTTTGACGATCGTTGGCAAACAAAAACAAAGTCGACAACCAAAACAAATACAAAAGATATACCGAAACGCATACGCACACGAGGGCCAAGCACACACAGATACTCACATTTACAGAGCATAAAGTTCAGGCGGCGAACTCGTGAAGTTTTTCTCCCGGCGCATTCAGTTCGATTCGAGCGATTTTCGAGCGCGGAGCGTTTAACTCGCACAGAAAGAAATCCGAACAAAAAAAAACAAACGACAGAAAACGTGAAACTAAATCTAAAAAAATTACAAGCTCTCTGAGTCAGCCAAAAAATAACTAAAAATGCAACGGCGATGAAAAGTGTTCCGCCAAATGCCGCAGTGTCGGGGCAAAAAAAAGTGTTCGTCTGTCTCATTCGGAGTTAATTAATTTCGGCATAGAATTTCCATTAGCTAAATTTATAAATACACAAAGCCAAAGAGCCCAATGCTAATTAAATGCCATCGCAGAAAGCCATCGAGTAAAGGGCATTAAGAAATCGCGTATGCAGTGAGTAATTGCTCCAAAAAAGCCGGCGATATGATTCTCCATGGTTCCGCAATCGGGGGCTACGATGAGTCAAAGTTTGCCGAAAAGATAACCCACCTGACGCCCACCGAACAGGAAGCCGTCAAGCGGTTCTGGAGGTAAAGATAGGGGTAATGGATCTGTTGATTGATACCATCGCAATCCGAAGTAGTAGGAAATCGGAACCAAATTGTGCGGGTGTAATATGTAGGGGCAAAAACTAAAAGTGTTTATCGGATGTGGTTTTTTGAGTGTTTATTTATGATGGAGGTGTTAAAGGTGTGAACTTAAGTGCGAGTTTGGTGTGGCATTGAGTTGAAATCAATAATTGAAGGTGTTTTTCAGACAAGTTTAAATAGATTTTTCAACTTTTTTGTAGGATTGGAGGTTTCTAACGTTAAATATCTATGGGTTTTTAGGGTTTATTTTTTAACTGACAGGTTACAGGACTGATTGATGGAACTATAAAAAGAATTGCCTACAATGTAACAATTTAAAAGTGTTCCACAACCCGTAAATCTATGTTTTCAACCAAACCGAATCCAATTATAATAATTTCTAATTATGAAATCGGTTGGCGTAAACAAGGAAAAGCCGCAACAAATTGTGGCTAGACAAATCTAGAAGGCAGAACATAAAAACAACGAGCTTCGTGTATCATAATCATAAACACGCATATTAATTTGGACCGCAATCCAAAAATACGCGATGCCGCAACCGTTCCACATGAATGCAAGTTTTTTTTAAAGGGGGAAGTGGGGGAGTGGGTCCATGTCAGGCCTTTTCCATTCATGTAACATGCATAAAGCGAAACCGCATAAATCAGTTGACGCATAAATTTTCATTTTACATACATTTTCAAATCGGCCAAAAAAGATGGAAACGTGAAAAATGACTCGAGAAATATGGCAGCAAATTGCCAGACGGCTTTCAACTTGACTCCATCACAAATATTTATTTATATTTTGATATTTATAATATCATTAAATCAGCAGTGCTGTTGTTTTGGCCAAAACATGACAGGCAATTAATTTGAGAATGCATGAAAACCTAAGGTGAAGTTGGCTTTTTTTGGCTAATTGCATTGGGATGGCTTAGGACGAGGGGCACGGGCACTCAAATAAATCCCCATTGGGACCCAAAACAAATTATAAATAATTGCAGTTTCCGCTTCCACTAAAGTGGAATAATGAAAAATGCAGCACGCATGTTACGTTTTCCAGGAAAACCCGAGGAAAATTGTAGTAGGGATCAGGGCGGCAAAGTTCACTAATGAGTTCTGGTGGGGACGAGAACCATTCCGCCGGTTTGCAGGGGCAAATAGATTATACTGGATTTTGTGGCGCACGCACAAATATATTTTTCCAAAGATGTTTCCAAATACCAAACAAAGGGGGCGACAACAAGAACTCAAAACGCTGACAGCTTGATATATTTTATTATAATTTCTTCCCTAAGGCAAGTGTGATTTCTATCTTTATCTGTCGCTCGGTTTGTGTATCTTCGGTATCTACGCATTTGTCGCATTCCGTGTCGATTGCACAGGAAGAATATGCATCACAAAATATATAGTTTTTATACAAGAGTTCTGATAAATATTACAATTTTCTTAGTTTATAATATAAACCTCTAATAGATCTTTCCCCATATATTTAATTAAATTATTAAATTATTTGGTCGTCAAACTTCCATAACTTTACCTGCATTCCATAGAAATTAAAACATATATTTCGAATAAAGTTTCGGCCAGATGATCAAATTATTTAAGAAAAGCTATGGCTTATCATAGGAAATGTATACAAATGCACTTATATTAATCATAAGAAAATGTATAATAATTTAAAATAATGTATGTTATATGTATCTTAGTAAGTTCAAGGACTCTTCATATATTTATGTTTACATTAATATTTTAATAGAAAATATAAATAATATTAATAATAATATTTTCAAAGGGTCATGCCATGGTAATTTATGTTTATCATTTACATCACCATTTTTCTCCGTGCATTTGGTGCATTGATTTATTTTTAAATCCGATAGCAAAGACAGATATCGTTGGTGTTTTTCTAGCATTTCGCAAGAGACTTTCTTTGTTATTGCTTACACAGACCCCGCAATCCTTCATTATATTGTTTTTATTATTTGCCAATTTCCACTAACAAGAATTTCTTTGGTCCGATTCGTTTCCAGGTCGCTGGTTTTGCGGAGTCAACGCGCCTTCATTGAGGAAAATGGTAAGTTGAAAACTTTAGCGTGGGTCTGGGCCATAAAAGTCATACTACAAACGTGTCTCAGGCCCACATGGCTGACATTCTGCAACGGCAGTGGCAGCAGCAGCTTTGGCCACAAGATCGGATGTGGGTCAACCTGACGCCCCCACAGAAATCCGCAAAGTCGGGCCAACACCCACAATTGTGTTGAGCGGTGTTAACAATACACTTAACTTGGCCGAAAAGGCAAATTTGTCACAGCGGCGCCGCAACGCACTTTTTCAGCCCACTATAATCCAATGAAATATTTTATATACTCCGACTCCTTTATGGGAATCAATTTTGGCAAGACCTCCACACTTCACTACTCCCCTTTCTGCCCCAAAACTGCAACTTTTAATTAAGCCAAACTGAGACTGTGGCAAACTGGTTTGCGGCTTAAACGCAAATATTTTCCTCGATATGAACAAATTCGGGCCTTTTTCTTCGGCCAATTTATGACAAGCGGATGTGAGTTGACAGTTTTGTTAAGGCGGTGGGCGTGGCAGGTTTTGATATTCGACTTCAGCGTTAATTGAAGCAATTAAAATGGGCAACGTGTGCATAAATGTCAGGCAGCCTGCGATTTCAACTCATTAGCCACACACGAAGTGTGTACCATAATTTTAAAGAAACCTACAAACGACAAAAGTTTATGACACGTTGAAAAATCATTAAAAACAAAAGGCCATAAATGACTGCAGCAACCACGAGTAGCCGACTGAAAGGGACGACTTTAATTGGGTAATTAAAGTGAAGTCATAAATAGGGCGAATCCCGTCTAGGGAGCACTTAAAAAAATTAAAAGGAAAATATGGTGTATAGTTATACACAAAGGAACTATGAGATAATCATTGAATCTCTATGGTTCATTTTATTAAAGTCTTGGAAGATTTAACAATATATATATATTATCTGTGGGGATTATAAAGTATTACAGCTTTTTCTGAAGAGTTTTTATTTTGATTGTTTATTATAAATTTTCCTATCCCATTGGGGAAGCGCTAAAGAATTTTAAAAGATGAACTTATTGTTCAGTAAAATAAGAATAAAAGGACAACGGGGTTTCTTTAACATACTATAGCTCATATACTCATTATTCCAACAAAATAAAATCTATTCATCTTAAATAAAAACCTCAGGAAAATCAAAAGCATTATGTTAAGTTTGTTAATTACAGACAATGGTTATTTCTTCACGAGTGGAGTTTCTTGATTATGGCTAATATACCCATTATTCACTTATTTTTAATATTATTGCATTTTAAAGCAAAAAATTATTGTTCAGTTAAAAAAAAATTCAAGATCAACAGGGCTTCTTAAAAAAACCCTATAGCTATGAACTCGTTATTCCAACAAACGAAATGTAGTATGTACCTCAAACCCAAAAACATAATGTTTACTTTGTTTATTAAAAATTATAGTTATTTCTTCAAGAGTGGAGTCTCTTGATAATGGCTAATATACCCAATTTTTACTTACTTTATATATTATAACAATTTAAAAATAAACTTAATGTTCAGTTAAATAAGAATTTAACCATAGCTATCAACTCATTATTCCAACAAACGTAAATGTAGTACATACCTCAAAAATCAAAATTATGTTTACATACTTTGTTAATTAAAAATTATAGTTATTTCCTAAAGAGTGTGGTCTCTTGATTATGGCTAATATACCCATTATTCACCTATTTTATATATTATTACATTTTCAAGGATAAACTTAATGTTTAGTTAAATTAGAATTTAAAAACAACGTGGTTTCTTCATAATACTATATCTATAAATTCATTATTCTAACAAACGTAAATGTAGTACTTTGTTAATTAAAAATTATAGTTATTTCCTAAAGAGTGTGGTCTCTTGATTATGGCTAATATACCCATTATTCACTTATTTTATATTTGGCTGTCGCCTTTTTTTGGTTGCCTGTCAAGTGAGCTGGGGCATGCAATTAGATCGAACAGCATTGCACGTGTTTTGCATAATTAAATTTTTGCGCTTTACGGTAATTTGTGGCTGTGGTCGCAGCAGCTATTGCACCGTTAGCTTCATTAGCCGCGGCAGCTGCAACTGCAACTGCGAATGCCGCCTACCTCAGATACAGCCCCCATATGAGCAAATTGTGCACATGTCAGTTGGACCAACCAGTTTGGATTCGGTGTTCCAATACCCTTGACTATAGGGTATATCAGGATTTAAGAGATATTTGCAATTCCAAAAGATTACAACAATCTCCTGAAAACCTAAAGGGTATATCAATATTCCATATTATATTCTTTCGATTTCGTTTCCATTCCCATTTCATTCACAAGTCGAATTCATTTTGTATGCTGGACAGCATCTGCATCATTCACCAATACGCCTACGCCGAAAATGTAGTCATTACAAGAGGGGTCCGATCAACATGGGAAAGATCATGATAATGATGATTGGGACATGGGACGTGGACCTGGCGAGCATGATCGTAATTCAACTGTTGTGATCGAGCTGGGTTAATTTCTTAATTTTTATGTGAGTCGGGTGCGACAATGCGATTTATGTGACTGTATGTAGGCGCCCTTATATGGCTGGCAGATTGTCGGCCAAATGAAGTTGTAAACTGGCCGCGAACTGAATGTATTTGCAAAATGTCAGTAGTATTTAGTTCAGCAATTTTATGAGAAAGTTATAAGCAGTTATTGAACTAAACATGTTAACAATTTTATAAGAAAGTTATAAGGATTCTGCGAGGTTTGGGTTCAGATTCAAAGCAGCTATTGAACTATACATGTTATTACAAAATGCTTGGCTCATAAGCTATATATGCATTTGAAAGCAACATGTTTTGTCTTTTTAAACTTGCAGACAGTATTTAATACCCCTCAATTAGGGGACATTTATGGAGCCACATTCCGTGACCGCCCACTAAATCCAAAAAAAATAGAAGCCGCGTCAAATTTGAATAGTCTGTGTGATTATACGATTAAGAGTGTTCGATTGTGGGTGGGTGTGTGTTTTTTTTCGATCGATTATAATTAAGCCGGCGAACGGTTTTGGCCATGGCCCTGAAGCCGCCTGCTAATTACGGCCACTCGAGCTGAGGCTCATCAATATGCGACCTCTTAAATCGGTGCAACACGTATTCAACACTTTCACAATCTCGTCACGCCCACGACTTAAGCGTCGCGTTTTTCCACCCACGCCATCGTTGTTATTTTCATGAATGAAAAGTGAAAAGTATCTTTTGCACTTTTGAATCCAAACCGCTTTCGGTTCGCCAACAGATGGCGACGGCAAAGAGCTTTATACTTGGCTACTTGATAAGCATGGCTAAATGCTCCCATATCTTATCGCATTTAATTTGCTGCATGATGAATAAAGTGAGAACTTGATACGCTTGCCGGTCAGTTTGTTGAAGGCTTTCCCGAAGAGTACAACGTGTTTGATTTTCCGAATTTTTCCCTTTGCTTTTTTAAACCAAATACTAACGAAAAATCGGAGGTCAGCCGTCGAGCTAAAAGAATTTCAAATGTTTTAAGTGCAAACTCGAGTAACCATAAAATGCTTTGGATTCTTTTTTGGCTGGGGGTTTTGTGGCTCTGGTATGGGGCTAAAATTCCTCAGGAAAGTAAGTTTAAAAGCAAGCATAATAAATAAATAAAATAAAAAATCAAACAAACTTTGGCGGTGTTTGCTTTTACCCTTTAGACTCAGAAAACTTTGTGCCGACCGGACTATTAAGTCCCATTACTTTAATCATTATTTAATTATTATTTTCCTTGATTACAAAATCGTTTACGCCAATGCCAACGTAAATAACTCAAATTGCTTTGTTAAAAATGATTCACCCAGTCAAAAGTGGTTTATCTAAATTAACCAAAATTAGTTATTATAAGGCGCAATTAAGCATAAATAAGGCACGAATTTATCTCATGGATACAGACGGTCATTCCGAGAACTGCGTCTTTGTACCTGCTGCTCAGATTACCAAATCCGAAACGTGTTTGATGGAGGGCAGGTGTGGCTTCCATAGTCTGCGCTGCACAGGCGCAGAAAAAGATACATTTTGTTCTGGCTTGATTCTGTGGTCGATTCGGAGAATCGAATGTTGACGTGACCTTGGTAGTGACATTAAGATATACCGCGTCTGCCTTTTGATATCCCCAAGATTCTTACGATTCTCGTTTTGTTATATCTTGCAGCTCGCCCAGCCTCGTCCACCGCAAATCCCGCTCCTGCAGGCATGAGTCGCTCGGTGCGCAGCTGCAACTGCTGTCCCTATGGCTACCACATCGATTTGGACTTTGTGCGCTACTGCGAGGCTTTGGCCCATGAGAAGCCCAGCGAGGATGAGCAGCGGCGACGGGATCGGAGGAGATCCAGAAAGTCCATGGAGTTCATGCTGGGCTTCGAGAGCCTCTTCGGCAGCGACTGGCAGGCGGAATCGCGGGTCCAGGGAAAGCTCAGCGAGGTAGGTTGGTCACCGGAAATTAGGGGGAAGTTAATTCATTTTAAAAAGATTGTAAGCCCCCTTTAAAAGGTATTTAATATAAGGGTTTTACTAATTTGGTATAATTTCTACTGTATTCAAAACCAATTCCAATCTAAAAGAATTTATCATAGATTACATTAAATTTCCATTAAGATTCATTATTATTTAGAAGCAAACTTTTAAAGGCAAACCACTGTAAAATCAATCAATAATGGGTGAAGTTATGAACGAACGAGTAGAATATCATATTAATAGATAATTTATGGTTATTATTAATTAGTCCACGAAATGTTATAGGTAAAGATAAATTTGTAGGCTCACCAATTGAAGATTCAATGGTTTTGGATTAAATTGCTTTCAGACAAATTGCAATTTAAAAGAATTTATAATAGATCAAATTGATTATGATTATATAATGTAAAATATACATGAGAATTAAAATTTTCATATTGATAAGGGCCGTTTAATTCAGATTACATTAACTAAAATTTAAACCACTGTAAAATCGAGTTTTAATGGGTCAAGTTATGAATGATCAGATTATTAGATAATTTATGGTTATTATTAATTAGTCCACGAAGTGTTTTAGGTATAGGTAGGTATAGGTATATTGGTATTATACACCCAAAAAAAAAATCGCCCTTAAATCAAGAAATTCGCCTTTAAATCAAGAAAATCGCCTATGATTTTCATCCAACGGCGACTCACCTTTATTTTAAATAAATAATTTTCTTGAATTTATGGTTTGCCATTTCTGGAAATAATGACAAATTTTTCTTAAATGAATGGTAAAAAACCTTAAAATTAAGGAAAAATTTATTTAAATAAGAAAAAAAATATTTATGATGTAAGATTACATCATTTTACATTTTACACCTTACATTTGAGGAATTTGGTTGGTTTTGTATACCAATGTTGAATTTTAAATGGATAAAACCGTTTCTAATTTTAATGGCAATTATTACTACAGTCTGAAAATTTTTATATTTACCTGAATTTATTAAAGATTTATTTTATATAAATACTTTTTATAAACATATAAATAAATATAACAAATGGAAAAATCCTTACCTCAGACAACCCCGGCGTGAACTCGAACCCGCAACTGCTCACACCATAGCCAGACGTCTTAACCATTCGGCCACGCGTGCTTCTTGTCATACAATGACTAAAGAGGGCTAAGGTGCTTTTGGTCCAGCTTTACGCATACAAATAACGTTTATTCTAATCTAAACCTTTTTAACAACCGTTTAAACAATTTGGTAAATAGAAAAGTGAAACTAATAAGAATAAAAATTACATAAATTAAAAAAAAAAAGAAAAATAAATAAACAAAGGGTACACTTGCCGTGGCGTGGGCTCGAACCAGGTACTTTTGTTCGATTGTTTATTGACCGGACGTCTTTACCAGCTAGACCACCATCAAAATGTATAAAAAAAAGTCACTTTCTCTTAAAATATGGGTATTTCTTTCCTAAATTTAAGTAAGAATTTACCATTATTTCAAGAAAAAAAATCAAGAAAAATTCGCCATTAATTGAAGAAAAAGTGGGATTCTTCCTCTTCTTCATTACAAAAAAAAAAAAAAAAATTATGGCGAATTCCTTAAATTGTAGGCATTTTTTCTATAATCAAGAAAATATTTCTTAATTCAATGGCGTTTTGAAATCACGGGTGATTTTCTAATATTTATGGTGATTTTTTTTTTGAGTGTAGGTATAGATATAATAGATCAAATTGATTATGATTATATAATGTAAAATATACAGAATTAAAGTTTTCATATTGATAAGGGCCCTTTGATCCAGATTACATTAATTAAAATTTAAATATATGTATTAAAAAACTTTTAAAGGCAAACCACTGTAAAATCCACTTTTAATGGGTCAAGTTATGAACGTAGAAAAACAGATTAAAAGATAATTTATGGTTATTACTAATCAGTCCACAAAATGTTGAAGGTAAAGGTATGTTTATAGGGTAATTTATTGAAATCAACATAACAGCCAACATAATAATGAAGAAATAAAATGAAAACTTTTAGAGGTATATATCTTGAAGTAATTTCAAGAAATTCAATGAGAATAAGGTGGTCTATTTTCATCACTGCTCCTAGGTGGTCTCTTCCTTTCATCTCCAAACTGGCAGAACTGAACGTGCAATTAACATGTCACCTTTCCGATTTCCCAAACAGGCCTCACATGAAAGCGAACCGGACTCGCCACGCCCCATTGGAGGCGCGTTGAACATGTCGCAGTCGTACAACACCACGCCGTGCTACCGCCCGCGTTCCTCGTCCGTGCCGCGTTTCACCTACGGCAGCATACCGCCCCGATCGGAGTCGCCCTTCGGTACCGCCTCCTCCACCTGCTCCTCCCTTAGGGGCGGGGTGGAAAGCGATGCGGGGATCTACCATCAGCGCCATAGGCCGGCCATCAGTCCGCCCGAGACGAGGGCCTTCCTCCATGAGGCGCTCGATGAGGTGTGCAGCGATTTCGAGCGGACACTGGAGCGAACCTCGGTGAAGAGGCGCAAGACGCCCTACGGAGGATCAGCATCCCTGTCCATGGATCGGAATAACAACAAACTCAGTCTGAGCCTCAGCAATGGTCATGGTGCACCGAAGGAGCACAAGAATCATCGGCTGGGCAACAGCACGTGGGATCGGTACTTTGATGTGGCAGGTGAGTGGGCGTCAGCACGATCTCCCAAAATAGCAGGCCAGAAAAAGCTCAATTTATAAGTTTCTTGCTGTGCACTGGAAGAAATAATGTGATTTAGGATTAGGACAGCAATTTTAGATCCAAATATCAACGAATTTATCAAGTATCTACGAAACATAGATAAAGAAAAATGCAATGGATTTTGGAACAGCCATTTAGGGACAATCAAGTTATATTTTTAAAATCCTTTGCCTGATGTTCGAAGTCCTTGAAATAGGTTTATTCAACAGTTCAAGTTTGTTTTACTAGTATAACATAAGATATTATAGTTTTATAACTGACAATATCTACGAAATTTATATATTTATATATTTAATAATATTATTAATATTATTATAAACTTAAGAAGACGAAAAAATGGGATTGGTTTTGGTTTAGGATTTTGTCCTTAGACAATCAAGTTATAATTTGAAAATCCTTGGTTCTGGCTTTCCAAGTCTTTGAAATCGTTTTATTTAGCAGATCAAGTTTGTTTTACTAGTATAAAAATAATGTTAAAGATGCATAGCATATTTACAAAATATACACTTTGACCATAAATATTCCAGTGAAAAGTCCCAAAAAAACAGTTCTCAAGTGTCTTCTTATCGTAGATTTGAAATCCAGACCATATTGTATAATATTTTTGGTTCTGTGTGGGGAAGATGATTCATAGAGCCAAGTGAGAGACGCCTTTGGCAGATACTTTTGCTTTCTTTTCGTAGCAATTAGCGCTGCTGCGGCACATGTGACATTTTTACGCACGAAAGTGTGAAAAATGTTGTGAGACTTTTAGAATGGAATAGAAAAACCCCACAGTGGAATGAAAAGTAAAAGGCAAAGGTAATAAAATTATAAAAATAAATTACAAGGATGTTGTAATGCTATAAAATTTAAAGGGCTAACACATTGGTGAAGATCAAGATCAAAATAAATATGACAGGCTTACAACATTTTTCATTTTTATTTACATTTTTGACTACACCATCCCATGGTTCTCATGGAGTTGTCAACTCTGCAGCTGTGCTCTTAGATCAAAGAATATTGCAACATCTATAAAGTTTTAAACAAAATAGAAAAGCAAACAAATCAAAATTTAGTTCACTGCTGGCAACTCCAAAGATATAGATACAGATACCAAGTCGCATGCAAATGCAAATGCAAATGCAGCTACAGATACGGTTGCTTTGCATCTTTGGCATTTGAAACTCAATTGGGTGCTTGCCACTTGCGGCATGGGGCAACTTCAAGGCAATTTTCGAGGCGTTCGTATCTCAAATCAATCTGAAATGCGCATTTGGCGCTCAATTTGCATGCAAATATTGCTCCAGCTTGTTTTTCTTGTATTTGTTGATGCCATAAATTTGCCATAAAGTGTGCAAAAAAATCAATGCAAATAAACAAATCAAATTGTCGCGTTTCGTTCTGTTTTTTTTTCTTGTCCAGAGGACATGGCGCAAAGAGTTGTCATTGATTAATGTGTAAAAAATGGTTGCAGTGCCGTGGTAATTGCCAAAGTACAGGCCATTAATAAATGGCTTTCAAATTGAATTGAACATGGCTAAAACACAAACCGGTGCCAAAAAAACGTGCAGAGCCCAGAAAATATATCTAACAATAGATGAATGCCATAAAGCGTGTAAAAGTAGAAATCAGAAACCTTGAGCTATCTGTAGGCGAATCAAAAGAAATATTTTGAAATATTTTAAATTCAATTTTGATTATAATTCATTAAAAGGAAAAAAATTGCAGCTTTCTAAATTCACTTGAGATATTAAACTTTTTAAACTAATAACTGTCTGCCCAACCCAAAAATTAAATCATAAATCTGCAAATGGACTGGTTATTTATAGATTTCAATTTGTTGGCATTTTAAAAATCAATCAAACTATATTTTTTTCTTTCAATAATTAATTGGCAAAGATAAGATATTAGATATATCTACGGGCAAACTTTTTTTTTACTTAATGATGATGATTTATTCAAATAAGGCCTCTTCATTTTCTTAGCCTTGACTCAGAAACCCCAGGCAAACAATGAATGCGAATGGGTGTGCAAATAGACAATCAAAAATCAATATTATTTGCCTATCAAATGGCCCATTGAATATAAACACGCCCCGGGGTTTCTCTTTCTTGTTCAGATCCTCTCTGTAATTTTTTTGCCCACGTCACTGAAATTATCACTATCAGCTTGTGTTAATAATGGTGCATTTGGCTTATCAGCACAAATACAGCAAAATGTTGCCTACTTCTCTAGTGTGTTTTTTTTATTTTGGTCATTTAATTTGTATTTGCTGAGCGCTATCGCTACGCTCTTGGGCCTCTCAGGAAATTGGTTTCTATTTTATTTCGTTGTTAGTACTATAGACATAACATTATTTTTTTTTTCGCTCGCCTGTAGCACAAGAGTTGTGTTAAATAATAACACAAAAATCTCTACTGCTAAATGGTTTTTTGTCGCTCTTCACGCTGTTTTTGCCGCCGTGGATGATGGTCGAATGAACGAAAAAAATCTGAGAGCAGTTTGTCGGCGACTTTCGAACGAATAGCATAAAAATGCGTCTGTGTAGCTGCGAAATAAAATACTTACTATAATTATACGAAATGCCTTAAACGAAATCAACTAATCAAAACGAGTCGTGTAATTGTAGTACAACGAATTAACAGCCACTAAATTTAATGCGAATAACATGATAGTATGTGACAATAATTTCGAAAGCAGATCACATAAAAGCGGTTCGACAACGATAATATTAAAATACAAAAAAAAAACAACGATAAAGAATCACGATTTAAAATTTAATGATATTGTATAATACATATATCCATCAAAAAGTGTAATAAACCTACCAAAACTTAAGAAAAAACCAAAATTTATCAAATATATTGAATCTCATTAAGATTACATAAAATAATCACAAAAATAAAACACATAAATTGCAAAATAAATTCGAATATATATTTAATAATGCCAATGATTCTACGAAAACTCAAATATGAACTTCTACGAAGTGAGTTTTGTTAAGTGTGCATATTTCTTTGGCCGCCACTGTAACGCAGATAACGTATGATGAGCTGTCGCTTTGATCTGGCGAATCAAATAATTCAATAAAGCTTATAGCCAAGCGTTTTAATTAACACCAGCTAAGATAAGAGCAAACAAAACAATTAAATCGAAGAATCTAACAAAATTTTTGTTACGCTTTGGCTTCGTGAATGCCAGACAATAGCAAGTGCAATGTCTGCTGCCTTGGCCCAAAAACGCTGCCAAGTGCAATGTTTGTGCTTTTCTAACCAACTAAACTGAATAAATCGATAGTAGATAATAACAAACAAGAGGAACAGAAATGTATTCAACATCGGAGGATGCCTTGCCGCAGAGACGAAAGCGTTTGGCCAAGAGGAGTTTCAAATTGAAGCCGGACAGCGGGCCAAACTCGCCGAAAAGCTGGTGGAGTGACTGTAGGTTCATTAGCTAAAGGAGACGCTCATTTGGGGCGAACTCTTTAGCGATATCGACTTGGTTCTTTGCTAATTAGTTGGGCCATAAAAACTGATTAATTATGGCCCGGTCAATGCTACCCAGCGTCACGCGCACTCCCTCCCTCTCGAACACCGCCCCCCATTTCGCCTTGACCAAGACGCTCAGCCAATTTGGCACCGCTAAGAAAAAAGCAGTCGTAGAAAAATATATTTAAAATATAAAGGGTGTCACAGAAATTTTGCACTTTGAATTAATTTATTTATATTAGGTCTTTTCTTATACAAGTAGCATGGCCACACTGATATTAATATGTTTATTTTATGTACTTGGTCACACTAAACAAATTACTGCCGTTATAATACAGTCATTTTAGGGAACTTTTCTTTCGGTGTTTTTGCTCAAAAAATAGACAGACTTTTAGCCCAAAAGTTCGTTGTACAGCGATATTAAGTAATAGCAACACAGTGGGTGGGAAATAAAATAAGAACAGCAAAAAATACTTGGCAAGGCTGACAGCGCGAGATGAGTAACAAATTGTTGTTGGCGGGGTGAACAGTGCGTATGAGGAATATTGGACAAATGCAGGGACCAAAATAGAAGCACCATCTATCAGCTGGCCATAAATTTATCTATTTGCTCTCACAAATAAGACTGCATGTTTTGCATGTGTCAAGTAAAATACGTCAACAGCCTTGGCTCTTATGTAAATAAAAGGTAATAAAAATACATATAGCCGTTTGTATGCCAGGGCGATAAACAAAAACTAATATTGAATAATAACCCGAGTCTCTTATTTTGCGACAATTTGTCGCTCACGCACACTCCCAAAAGGTTTGGATCGAGTAACTTTTGCCTTTTATTTTGTTTTCATTAAATATATATGTATAGTTACATATACATTTGGTTGCTTTCAAATTATACGAACTTTGGCACAATTATTAAAATTAGATTTGAAGAGCAAGCGTTTTTATCATTTTGCTTCGGAGCTTTTCGCTAAAAATTTTTTATAGGCTTTTGAGTCCAGTCGCCAGTAGCAAGTGCTGATGGCAAGTTGGGAAATTAAGATTGTACTGAAGAAGGAGAGCAGATCAAGTAACCTGTAGCTCTACTATTTAGATGACATCCCAACTAAAGTATGGTATTTTTAAATATATTTTAGATTCCTGCATTGGGGGCAATCGATCGCCCACGGGCACGCCGCGCCCCTTCCTGCGATCCAACACGCTTCCCCTGCAACAGCGTCCCAGTCCGGCGGAGGTCCAGTATGAAAGCTATGTCCAGGCCACGGTGGCGGCCAATGCCAAGTCGCCGGTGGAGCAGCTGGAGTCCGCAAAGTCTCCGGGAGTCCCACCACCGCCGCCGCCCAGACGCCATCATCTGTTGGCCACCACGCCCACCGGTCCAGGCACATCCACTTCCAAGGAGGATCGGCAGCAGGAAAACGGCTCCATGAGCGGCAGCTCCCTGCAGTCACCTGTCATCTCGGAAGGTGGTCAGACCACGGCGGAGGCACAGGCTCTATTTCAGATACGCGAACAGATGGCGCTGAGTCTCAGACGCCTCAAGGATCTGGAGGAGCAAGTGAAGATCATACCCGACCTGGAGGTAAGAGCATATGATGTCAATATATTATTCAAAGCATAGTTAGATGATCATGAAAAAGATTATTTTTAGGGAGGTTATATAGCTTCATTATTAATTTCTTAGCTTCCTGTCTTTAAATCTAAATACCGTTTTTAATTTAGAAATCCATTTGGGTAGTTACCTGTTTAAAATCAGTTTATAAAGGATTTAAGGTTATCCTAAAGTCTTATAGATAACAATAAAATGATAGTCGAAGAAAAAAATTCCTTTATCATTATAAGCAAGTTAAATTTTCATTAAATGACACCACAATTAATAATAAACCCAGAATTTAAGGTCTTCCAAAAAATAGAGTACTCCGATATTTTAGCTGAGGAAAGAAAATAAAGTTACTATACATTCATTACTGACCAGAAAAACTGATATAATTAAAAAAGGTGGATTAGTTTCAATATTTTCGCTTTGATATGGGTTTGAAAATGAAAATATTCAATATGTAGATATGTTAGTTATATAAAATTTATAGTTTAGAAATCGTTAAAATAATATCGTATCTTAGATTTTCTACGTTGATTTAAAAACATTACAATTAAATTATGCAATTAAATGTTTTTGGATTTCGTGCTAAAACTAATTAAAGAATTGTAAATTTAAAATGCAGATGTTTATTGTTTGTATTACGATTTTTTTTAATGTCCACATTATTTTAAGTTTTATTACTTAAAATTAATATTTTTCAATTCGATTTTTAGCTGGAACTAAGTAATCTTCGCTTGGAAAAACAAAAGCTGGTGCGCAAGAACGAGGAGCTGGTAAGGAGTCAACGGCAGACGCCATCTCCACCGAGTCCTGGCATTAAGACCGCCTCTCCCGTGCAGTTCACTCCGCAAAGGATCAGTCCAGTGTCGCTGGAGAGCCTCGGAGCTCGAATGCGCAGCAGTTCCACCTCGGCATCCCCTTCTCCAAGCGTCGTCCGTCGGGATGTCTCCACCCAGGCGGTAGTGAGACCACCTGCCACTCGAGATGTGTCCGTTGGCCACCAGCCCACCACCAGAAATGTGGGTGTTCAGCCCTCGGAAACCGTTTACTCCAAGGAGGAGCTGGAGCAGAAAGTGGAGCAGGCTATGACCAGTGCACAAAAGAAACAGCTGAGGAATCTCATCTCGGTGGGCACCCAGATGTATGTGCCCCAAAGGGAGCAGCGAGACAGTGGAGTGCAAACTCTGCCGGAAAGACCCAAACTCAAGTACAATGTGGGGGTCACCGCCAAACCTGCTACGAGGGAGAACTTCACCAGTTGCAAGCCAGATGTGCGCCACGTAGGCTCTTCCGAGGATCGCCTGGATGATGTACTATGTGTAAAATGTGCCATCGTCAAGAAAAGCGTGGCCTGCGGTCCGGAAACTCCTCCGGAGAAACCTGTGAAACCAGCTCCCCAAATGCCCGGACGCAGTAATACCTTCAGTTTGGGCGAGAATGAGACCCTATCCGTGGTGCGAAAGACCATTGGTTGCCAGACGCCAGTGGCGGTGGTCCTCAGTGCCGGAAGTCAAACAACAACGGCTACAACTCGCTCCACCGGAGCCCAGGTGAATCCCCCGCAGCAGCACTCCGCCGTGCAGTGTGGAGCGGAGCAGGTGTCCCGGCAAACGGATACCAACGGTCTGCAGCGACTCACCCGGAGTCACACGAAGGCGGAGCAGGTTTCCGAGTCGGTGCCACGCCCCTTAACCCGTCATGCATCCAGCAATACGGATAAGGTGGAGGAACCCGAGCCGGTTAAGGTCCGCACAAGCCACTCCGCCTGCAACACGGAGGAGGTGCGGAAAAGGGATGTGGGCTGCGGCGATATTGTCAAGCCGCACATCTCCATAGCCTGTGCGGCCAACTACTGTGATTCCTGCAAGGAGGCCATCCAGGATCTGGCCAGGGGCTTCTCAAAGGTTAGTCCCACGGCTCCCAGAACGGGAGGAGCTGTCCGGCGCTCCGCTTCGGCGGATTCGCGGATACCGCGACCCAAACACCTCACCAGTCCGAGTCCGGTGCGGAAGGAGTTCAAGCGGCAAAACACCTACACGCTGACCACGCCCTCGCCAACGCCCAGTCCACACGTACAACGGAAGGCACGCCTAAGGTGAGTCTATCCATAAGAACCTTAAAATTTATATCATGGATTTTTTTTCATTTTTCACATACCATTTTTCCGGAATGGTTGTCTGACTCACAGTTTTAAATAAATATCAAAATTAACTAGGTCCAAAAATAATGTAATTTAATAAACTTAAGCAATTAGAAGCAGTTGGAATAGATTTCTTCCCTAAAAACCTTAAAAACGTAACCCCTAAATGTCTCCTAATTATTTCTTAAGAATTTATTTCCATTCCCCCCACATTCATACATATTAAAGGACAATTTAGAACTTTATTTATGTAGGACCAGTTCTATTTAATGGACCAAAATTAATAGAAGTCATTAAAATATATTTTTTTTTATTCAAAAAGCCTTTTGCAGGTAAATTACGGAATTATTTATAAGAAATTAGTTAGCAAACGTTATTCGTTGTATTCCAAATAAGTTTTAAATTACCTACCATTTAATAGTTTTACATTATATTAAGTTTTTGGCCCACTGTGCAAGCCAAGTTTCAAAGAGAGCTTTTAGCCAAGACGCGAACCACAATCCAGCTCTTGCGCATTGGGTTCACAGAAGTCGTAGCCTGAAATCGAAATGGGTTGACCTTCAGTTGAGTTTGGCTGTTTGCTTTGGCCCAATTGCTGAGCCGCTTCTTTTTGTTTTTTATTTGGATTTTGGTTTTCCGCATGGTGCTGCCAATGTTTTCCAGCCTGAGCAGTTTTACGTGCTATCCGCTGCTGGTCAGCGGATGTTCGGCTCTGCTCGTAACGTGGGTTTATGATTTTTTCTAGAAACCTTAAGCCTTCCGTACTCATCAAGGTTATTTGTTTTCAGCTCCCTCCAGGAGAAGCCCCCGACTGTGTCCAGTTTTCAGGCAGCAGACCCACTGTCGGAATCCCAAAGCTTCATCCGTCAGCCGCAAAAAGATTTGTTGGATCTGAGTCTCCTGGGCGACGATGAGCTGATTGTGCGCGAGGAGAAGCGGGTGAGCATCAGCTGGTCGAGGGATGCTTCCCCGGCCCCACTGATGACCTCCTCGGGAACCACCAAGTCCGAGACGAAGGAACAGGAGCCGGCCATGAGCTCCTCCAGTGAATCCAGTCCGCCCATCGACGTGCAGATTGCCCAGGGGGCACGCAAGAAGTCGAGCACTCCACTCAAATCTAGTCAGAGCGAGGACTCCCAGGTGACCGTAATCGAAAAGCCGGCCACCAAAGCCCAGCTCCATCAGTTGGCCCAGGCGGATGCGGAGCCCCGAAAAAAGTGAGTAAATCAGAGCGTGTAACCCTTGGAAACAGGATATAAGTTTATCCAAATGGCATAATGATCAAAGTCTTTAGTTCCCTAAGGTGCCATTAAAATTTTGAAGGGATTTAAGATTAAGTATAATCTTTTTGGAAAAAATGTATTAATATTACATTAATACCTTCCAGAACCGAACTGTCCAAGGGTCTGAAAGATGCTCTTAAGGTCATAAACGACTCACTCCTGAAGAAGTTGGGTGCCAAACCCATATCCTCGCAGAGCCTCAAGTCGGCCAAGGCCACCATCCAGGATCACTGGTTCATCAACTCCAGTACCGGCAAGTCCGATCCCCACCAGGTGGAGGACTATCTCGATTACTTTGAATCGCTGTCGGTTCCCTTGCTGGAGTATTGTGTCAACCTGTCCGACAGTAATGTGAGTTTCTAGTACCAAAACATTTTTTATGAATATAGATCACCAAGGAAGTATCCCATTTCAGGGCAACACAGCCATGCACTATGCAGTCTCGCACGGCAACTTCGACGTGGTATCCATTTTGCTGGATTCTAAGGTTTGCGATGTAAACCAGATGAATAACGCCGGATACACATCGGTGATGCTCGTATCGTTGGCCAAGCTGAAGCAGCCTTCCCATCGCACAGTCGTCGAGCGACTGTTCAAGATGGCCGATGTCAACATACGGGCCAAGAAGGTAGGTAAGGGGCCCCAACGCCCGCTGATCTTGACCCCAGTAATAGCTGACCCCCGTTTACTCCCCTACTAACCGTTCCTCCGTCCCGATTTCTCCAACCACCCACAGCACTGCCAGACCGCTTTGATGCTCGCTGTGTCGCATGGTAACGAGGAAATGATCAATATGCTCCTGGACGCCGGGGCGGACATCAATATACAGGACGAGGACGGCAGCACGGCGCTGATGTGTGCCGCCGAACATGGACGTGCGGACGTGATCAAGACCCTGCTTTCGCATCCGGACTGTGATTCACTGGTCAACGATGTGGTGAGTTTGGGAGGATGACAGATAACCTGGGGTAACCACTTTTAAAATCAGAGATGCCGCATATTTTAATTCTGTTCAATACAAGCTTTTAGAAATCTTAATAACTTCTTAAAACTCCTTGTAATTTTAAAATTGTTCTTCATTTGTTCTTACAATTTCCGCCGTTTTCTCGAGTGCCAGTTACCTTTTCTAGGACTAAGTGTCTGTTAAGAAATTTGACTTCCTCGAGCGTTTATGAGAGTTTGCTTTAATCAGAACAGAACAAGATTATGTGGTCGTTAACTTAACTTAACTTGTCGCTCAGATAACTGACTGCAACCTTAACGGCCACTCGAGAAAACATCCTTAAAGGTTGGAACTTTTAGAACTCAACGTAGAATATTAAGTATTAAGTAGAGTATGTTTAAAATGAAATAACTAATATTTTTTGGAACAATTTACCCAATAATGTAGAATGCAAAATAAGCTTTTGTTCATGATTTTAAAAGTGATATTACCAATCCGTAAACTCCTCAACTGTAATGATTTATTTCTTCCCAGGACGGCAGTACGGCTTTCAAGATTGCATGGCAGGCCGGGCACCGGAATGAGGGGCTTCTCATCTACGTCCACGAACAGACGCTACGAGGCAAGCTGCCGAATCGTGGAGATGCCACTAGGAGCTCCCTGATTTCGCCCCAGCGCCACAAGCGCCAGCCATCGCAGTAGAGCCATATCGTATTAGCGGCCAAATAGACGAACAAACAGCTAGTGTCTAAGTTCTTAATTAGCATTTCGTAGAGCTGCCCCAAAACACATTCCATAGCGCTGAGGAAAGGCACAAATGCAGCTAACACTTTCATACATATATGTATATTGTATAATTGGAATTCGTTTGTCGTACGTTTTATTTATTTATACATCTAATTTTAGTGCTAATGTGTAGTGTAACTCTAATTTCGATATTGATTAATCAACGAAAGCAGCAGACTCTTTACAATGTATATCTTATATCTGACACAAAACGATCAACTCTTGCAATTAAGTACTGCACAGGCCTGAGCTACCGATCTTAAAGTAGCCGACAAACCAACCAACCATATCAAGCAATCGACAATGCAACAAACGATATATACTTACCGCAAATAACAAACAATGAATCAAATTTAGAATTATTTTAACAAATCAAAAGGTTCATCCTTAGGAGGACAATGTGTATTTAATAGAAATTAAACAAGCTATTTTAAAAGAAATGTTTTTTCGAAATAAATAAATTCTTAAATAAAGAAAGTGTTTTTAAAATTAACTATGCTAAAGTTGACTTTGCCTATTAGGTCACCCGACCAAAAGTTTCGTATTTTATTTGGTTAGTTACCACGCTGAGTTTTATATTGCTTTCTAGACTTTGTTCATGGAGTAAATTCTTTGTCACTAAGTTAAAGCTAGAGATTTAGATACTGACATAAGCTTAATCTCTTGTTTGTCTACACGTTTTTGAACGGAAATGAGTTTCCCTATTAAGCACAAAGCGGAAACTTATTGAAATAAACCATTGTGGGCGGATTATTTCGGGAAAGTTAGGTTCTTAAAATGTTTTTATGTATAATCCGCAGGTTGTAAATTGTTTACGTTTTTAATATCCAAGGCCAACATGACTTTATTTGTTTAAACAATTTACTTATTTGTAAGGTCTTGTCCGGAAGTAACTTAGTAAACTACTTTTCCTATCCCAGAGATTTAGCTCATGTCAATAATCTTACGTTTTTGATACTCCAGCTCATACCGCCCTTTCCTCGTTACCGTGTTCTATAACGCCCAATGGCATCAGGGTTAGCGCTATACCATCTTCAAGGTTGACCATTGGTTTCCTAGAGTTCAACGAGAACTCGTATTCGGAGAGGAGTAGAGCCAAAGCCAATCGCAGTTGCAGCTGTGCAAATTGAATCCCTATACAGCTGCGAGCACCGACACCGAATCCAAACCAGGTGCCCTGTTCCTGCAGCGAATCCCTTGGTCCAGCCCATCGGTCTGGCTTGAATTCCTCTGGTTCCGGATAGATATCCGGATCATGGTGGATGGCATGTGTGGGAATAACAAGGAAGAGCTCCTTGACCAGTATGTACTTGGGATGATCCGGAACTGTATAGTCATTTAGGGTGCGTCGCAGAATGTAGGGTGTTATGGGATGCATTCTGAGAGTTTCGTTGATCACCTGACCCATGAAAGCCAGTGACTGAATGCACTCGTAGTTAATGTTACCCTCATGCCGTTCAATGGCCTTCTTGAGCTCCTCCCTCACTCGGATTTGCATTTCCGGATGTAGGGCCAGTTCATAGAGTACGTATGAGAGAGTATTAGCCGTTTGTTCGTATCCTGCCTTCAGGAAAACAACCGCATGGGCGGCCAATTCATTTTGCAAATGTAAACCCAACTCCTTATCCGATTCATACTGATGGGTAATCAGCTCCAGAGCTTTGATCTCCATCAACAGCTGCAGGTAGTCCTGGTGTCGTACTCCCGAAGCCTCACGCTGTTCCACTATATTCGATAGGAGTTTCACAAAATAATCCTCCGCCTGTTTGGGCGTGCGACGCATGCGCAGCAATCGACAAAAGTTGGGAAACCGTATCATCATTAGGTTCATAAGGTAACCATGTTTATGACTACTCAAGGCCATCTCGGTCATCTGCTCAAAGTCGTCCAGGGGATACGACAATCTCTGCTGGGCATCCAGGCCAAAAACGCAATTGGCCAGGGCAGACAGAACGTAACGCCTCATGATCTTCTGTATGTGCACAGTGGAATGCGGCTGATTCATCAGGGTGGAGCTGACGGTGAGGAGAAGCTGTGCCGCCTCCTCATAGAGACAGCCAAACAACCAGGACATGCGATCCCCCTCCAGACTGGGATCCAATTTCTGTCGCATCTCCTTCCAGCTCTGCCCCCGCAAGGCATAGAGATCCCCGGACAACGGATCCGTCTTCTGGTTGCAGTACAGCCCCCGATCGTTAAAGTTCCAAAAGTCCTTGATCATTATCTGCCTGATTAGCTCCCGATCGAGGATCAAGGCTCGTGGCTGCAGCAGAGCGTAGAATCCGCAGAATGGACCGCTTCCCTTGAACTTGTTGTATATGGACGAGTAATGGTTCGCCTTCATGGCATCCGTACTTAGTGACTGCGTCATTATTTGCCTAATGATAGGCCATAGCTTTTTGGGTCTTTCGTGCGGAATGTCCAGATAGCGCCAATAATCGCGCTGATACCGCGCCGCTATAATTAACAGAACCAGCAGCCCGAGCACCAACAGCCCGATGATCAGGAAAATGATCCACATGTTTTGCATTCTGTACGATCTCTGTTTGTTCTGAATCACATGGAATACACACACACGTCTGAGGGGTATCCAAAATCACTGCCTCAACGGGGGAAGTTCCACTTCCTGACCGCCCCGCAATATCTTGCCACCCTTTCACTCTCACTCTCAGCTCTATCGCGATCCCGCTCTCTCGACCGTCAGGTAGTCGTAGTGTCACCAACTATGATCTAATGCATCGCTCCGGCGTTCTCGATGGGGTTACGTTCATTAACGAAGCGCACGATTCGACTGACTGAGAGTACTACGGAGAAAAGTAACTATTTACGATACTCGCTCCCCACTCCAGGTGCGAGCTTTTAATTTGTTTCTTTACCGCTTTTTCGAGTGCGCTACACTGTAGCTCGTCGGCTGGTGGGCGTCTGACTGAGGCCAGACGGACATATGATTATTATTACTTTATTTTTCAATGTTGGTGGCATTATCAGACAGTCTCAGAAAACTCGTTTATGCGTCTTGTTAAATCTAAACAAACCAAATGTGCAATACGAATGCCATAAACATGTAAGTAATACTTGAAAGCCAAACAGAAAAATGATTATATAAAAAAATTTATTGACAATAGCATGATAAGATAGATTCCTTCTTTCAAAATTTTTACTATATATATAAAACTTACTTTATGGTTTATAGGTCGGTTCCCAGTCACCTTGGCGGGTCCAACACTCTTATCTGTAGACTTTAAATTTTATTTTCGTTTGTTATCAATTTTTTGGACAGAGTTTTAGTGCACCCCTTTGTTGGGCCATAATTTTTGGGAAATTTTTAGTAAATAAATAAAGTATATACTCGTTTACTGTCCACCACTAAGACATTTGCTGATAACTTTAAAACTAGAACACTTTCTTTTTTTATGAGTACTTATCTACCCTAACCTATACATTTTACGCCCAATTAACATTTAAATGCCTTGATTGCAAAAAAAAGCGACAAAAGAAAAGCTCACCCACAAAGCTGAAATAAGCCAAAATAAACAAAAAATCAAAAAGCTGCTGGTTTAATTACTTGTTGTTGTTGGCCACATCCGCACTTGAAATCTAATCAACTGTCAAACAAATATGACCGAAAAGGTAAACAATGTCGTTGCCAGATCCGTCAAATATCAGAACAGCTAATACCCATATCATTTTACGATGACGGTCGAACATGGTCTCTACTGATGAAGTAGCCCAATAGTGATACGACGGTTTTCAGGGGGGATTGTCCACCTACGTTGAGAGTATTGATAAGCGAAGGCTCGTCGGTATACAGTAGAACCTGCCTACCTGGTTGGAATGGTACAGATCTTCTCCCTATTTGCCCTTATCTTGTAAACACAAGTTTTCACAATAAGAGCCTGGCTTAAGCCCATTCTAGATTAAGATAATTAATTTATTTCTTATAATTTAAGCACGTCATTTATTCCGGGTTGGTGTAGTAATATGGTAATGTTAGTCAAATATATATAAAAATTCCTTCTTAAAATTCATAGCAAACACCAAACAAAGAACAACATTTATTTTTCCATATAGTCAAAGTCATTAAGTTGTGGCAGGTTAGTATTGTTGTCGATAAGAAATAATCTCAAGCTGTGCAAGCAGTGGTGAGAAGAAATTTAGATGCAAGGGTGGTTTTAGACAAATATTTCGCATTCACCATGGTAAAAATCGAAGTACAATCGCAGCTTCAACATACAAAACATCTGAGCATCCCTTAGGTAATTTCCTTCCAGCTTGCTACATATAAAATACTATAAAAAGACTATAATCTTTCGTTGACAGTGATAACGTTTATCGCCGACGGTGACTAAGCGAGCAGTTAGCAAGTAGTTTACTTATATGGGGATGCCTAAAACACTAGACGTTCTGATAAATCCCAGTCCGCCTCGTACAATAATAACTAGCTAATTATCCCTGGCAACATTGTGTATGGTGACATTTCTGATAACCAAAATAGATGCTGATTGTACAATGTTTATACAAAATATTTCCAAGCAAACATCGGTGTCTTCATTATCTTTATAGACTGATCTTACTGTATGATTCTTGCTGTCTCACAGTTGCCCGTATAAAAGTAAACAAAACTGTAGATTAACTCTCACTTTTAATAAGTCTAAAAATGTCTCGTCATGCAAAGTAGGTAAGTTTCAGCATTTAAAAGCAGTTTGTCGATCATTTCCCGAATCAGTCGCTACCAAAGAGCATCAGCCAGAGTATGGCGTTAACATACATTCTCTTCCAAGTGGCGGTCGCCTTGCTGGCGATCGTTAGTTACTATCTTCACCGTAAATTAACATTCTTTAAACGTCGGGGTATTCCTTTCGAAACACCCCATCCGATCAGGGGAAACATGGCGGAACTAAAGAAAACAAAGAACTTTCACCAAATTTTCCAAGATCACTACGACAAATTCCGGGAGAGCAAAGCACCATTTGTTGGGTTCTTCCTTTTCCAGAATCCAGCCGCTTTTGTTATTGATCTGGACCTGGCCAAGCACATCCTGGTCAAGGACTTCTCCAACTTCTCTAACAAAGGAATTTACTATAACGAAAAAGATGATCCCATTTCCGCACATCTCTTCAACCTGGATGGCCCTCAGTGGCGTTTGCTGAGGAGCAAATTATCCTCGACCTTCACGTCCGGCAAAATGAAGTTTATGTATCCGACAGTAGTTTCCGTTGCCGACGAATTTATGACGGTGATGCACGAAAAGGTATCCAAAAACTCTGTGCTGGAAATTCGTGATCTGGTATCCAGATTTACGGTCGATGTGATCGGAACCTGTGCCTTTGGCATTAAGTGCAACAGTCTGCGGGATGAAAACGCCGAGTTTCTCTATTTCGGAAAGAAGTCTTTTGTGGACCAGCGACATGGTACTCTAGTGAACGGCCTTCTGCGCAGCTATCCCAAATTGGCAAAGAGGTTGGGTTTCGTTCGAACTCCGCAGCATATTCAGGATTTCTACCGTAGAATTGTCACAGAGACTGTTGCGGTTCGAGAAAAGGAGAATATCAAACGGAACGATTTCATGGACATGCTCATTGAAATGAAGAATCAAAAGGAAATGACTCTGGAGAATGGCGAAGTTGTCAGAGGACTGACCATTGAGGAGGTCCTTGCCCAAGCCTTTATATTTCTTATAGCTGGCTTCGAGACATCCTCCTCCACCATGGGATTTGCATTATACGAACTGGCCAAGAACCCGTATATCCAAGATAAGGTCAGAGCTGAGGTGGAGGATGTCCTAGAGCAACATAGCCAACAGTTCACCTATGAGTGCACCAAGGATCTGAAGTACCTTAATCAGGTTATAAATGGTAAGATACATTATCTATAATGACAGCATCCTACTGATTTTCTAATCTCCCCGCAGAAACTCTTCGACTCTATACCATTGTACCGAATCTGGATCGAATGGCCGCTAAGCGCTACGAAGTTCCCGGCCATCCGAAATTCGTCATCGAGGCTGGTCAGTCGGTCATCATTCCATCATCTGCCATTCACCATGATCCCAGCATCTACCCCGAACCCTACGAGTTCCGGCCTGAGCGATTCTCCCCCGAAGAATCGAGTAGTCGTCCTTCAGTAGCCTGGTTGTCTTTTGGAGATGGTCCTCGCAACTGCATTGGACTGAGATTCGGACAGATGCAGGCCCGCATTGGACTCGCTCTGCTTATCAAGAACTTCAAGTTCTCCACCTGCTCGAAAACGCCAGATCCCCTGATCTACGATCTTCGTTCATTTGTACTCGGTGTAAAAGACGGTATCTATCTCAACGTAGAGGCAGTCTAACTGGAAAGATTAGAGTCATTAAATCGGTGCCAAAGAAATTGATTTGTATTCTGTTTAGCCTAGCTCACAAATAATTATGTTGAGGCAGGTTGAAGCCAGATTGGTCTACACCCAATCTTTGGTTTATCGGCAATCAACATAAGTGCTCCCTTTGTAATGGGTATTTCTTAGGAATAGCTATTCTTTTTAAGTTTAATAAACGTATAATAAATTAATAATCTATACATTCTATACCGGCAATCAGCTTGCTAATAACTTGTAGCTCTGTTCAGAATTCCTACAAACATAAGCAAAAAGTGGATAGATTGCGATAGCTTTTACTGTGATTGTCGGTCACAATGACTTAAGAGTTTTGTTCAGGTGTATTTAAAAGCGTTGGCAAAGCTTTGACACTCTCAGTTGGTGGCAAACGTTCAACAAGTTTGCAAACGATTACGGCAATTTTTCCATATTCGTAAACATAGCGTGTGAGTCATGGCCGTGGGAACTGTCCTAGTGACAGCATTGCTGATGCTTCTTGGTTACCTGTTGGTGAAATTGCGTAGCACCATGAGGTACTGGCAGGAGTTGGGAATTCCCTGCGAAGAGCCTCATATCCTGATGGGAAGCATGAAAGGAGTACGAAGCACACGATCGTTTCACGAGATCTGGATGAGCTACTACAAGAAGTTCCGTGGAACTGGACCCTTTGCTGGCTTCTATTGGTTCCAGCGACCGGCTGTATTCGTCCTGGAAACTTCTCTGGCAAAACAGATCCTGATCAAGGACTTCAACAAGTTCACAGACCGTGGCTTTTTTCACAACCCCGAGGACGATCCATTGTCTGGCCAGCTGTTCTTACTAGATGGCCACAGGTGGAAGTCCATGCGAAATAAGTTATCTTCAACCTTCACCTCCGGAAAGATGAAGTATATGTTCCCCACTGTTATCAAGGTGGGTCATGAGTTTATCGATGTTTTCGGCCAACATGTGGAAAAGAACCCCATTACCGAGGTTAGGGAGTTTTTGGCTCGATTCACCACTGATGTAATAGGCACTTGCGCCTTTGGCATCGAGTGCAGTAGTTTAAAGGACCCCGGAGCGGAGTTCCGAACGATGGGTCGACGATCCGTAACAGAGCATCGTTTAAGTTCTATAGGAATCGGCTTTGTGAATAGCTTCCCCAATTTGGCACGCCGACTACACATGAAAATGACAGCGGAGGCCGTAGAAAAGTTCTTCATGCGCATTGTTAAGGAAACAGTGGCTTTTAGGGAGCAGAATAATATCCGTCGAAATGATTTCATGGATCAGTTAATCGACTTGAAAAACAAGCCACTAATGATGTCCGAATCTGGTGAGAACGTTAACTTAACTATTGAGGAGATTGCAGCGCAAGCTTTTGTGTTCTTTGCGGCTGGTTTTGAAACCTCATCGACTACAATGGGATTCGCGTTGTATGAGCTGGCCCAAAATCAGGATATCCAGACTAGAGTGAGGGAAGAGGTCCTGGAGATTTGGGAAAAGTACAAGGGAGATTTATCTTACGAAAGTGTACAGGAACTTGTCTACCTTAATCAAGTGATATCTGGTAAGGTTTGAAACATTTATAAAATTCTCATTACTAAATACTTTATAATATTACAGAAACTCTTCGTCTGTACACTGTACTTCCCGTCCTAAATCGTGAATGCCTGGAGGACTTTGTGGTCCCTGAAAACCCCAAGTATGTTATCAAGAAGGGAATGCCCATCCTGATTCCTGCCGGAGCCATGCACCGGGATGAGAGACTGTACCCGAATCCGGACACGTTCGATCCGGAAAACTTCTCTCCCGACCGTGTCAAGGAGCGAGATTCCATAGAGTGGCTTCCTTTCGGCGATGGTCCAAGAAACTGCATCGGAATGCGATTTGGTCAAATGCAGGCACGAATTGGACTGGCTCTTCTGATCAAGGACTTCAGGTTCTCAGTCTGCGAGAAGACTACAATTCCCATGAAATACGACAAAGAACAGTTCCTCATTTCAAGTGAATCTGGAATCACCCTTAAGGTTGAACGAGCTTAACACTATTGTTTCTACAATACATTGTTACCACCATAAAAATCGATGAAAACTACTTAAGAATTTACTTAAAGCAAAAGTCAAGTCATTTGTCAAGTTATGCTGGCAATATAAAAAACACAATGGTTGCGTAGCTTTGTTGGCGGTCAACTTCTCATTTTTATAAGCTTCTCTTTTTACAAGCTAAACACACTTTACACCATCGACAATCCGACAAATGAAAGGATACGCCTAAAAGTAGACTATGGCTTTAAAATGATTAGTTTCCGAGATTACTTTTGAATAATGAGCAAAGAAAAGAAGGCCAGCTTTTAATATGTTAGGTGTGCATAATAAAAGACTATGTTATTGTCAAACTGTATGTAGGTTTCCTTGACAGCGATTACAGATTTGTACTACATCATGTATTAACATTATTAGCAGTCTACTAACCCCTCTTTAATGTTAATACAAATCTGTAATTGCTGTCAAGGAAGCTTTATTATATTTACTACTATTACTTACTAACTCTCAATCGAGGTTACCTAGTTGCGGAAAATGGTTGTAGGAATTCCTACTAATCACTAGTTTCACATAATAACAAGCTTATAGCATCATTAAAAAGTGAATTCAATTTTAATTATCTTAATTACTTCCCTAGCTTGCTGACTTTCAGATGTATTCCGCCCTTTGAACTCAGTAGAATATCGTCGGCCCTATATTCTAGAGGTACAACAGTTTTGTTGGGGTGCATTTCGAACTTGAAGTTGTGGATGAGCAGCGCCATTCCCACGACGACCTGCATCCGTCCAAAGCGGAGACCAATGCAGTTTCGGGGACCCTCTCCAAATGGTAAAAATGTGCAAGCGGGACGCTGTTTAACCTGATCCTCATCGAACCGCTCTGGGATGAACTTCTCTGGTTCGGGGTAGAACTCGGAATCATGGTGGATGGCCCAGGTGGGCACAATTACTCCAGTGCCTTCTTCAATGTAATACTTGGGATTGCTATGCTCATAACGTTTAGTTGCAATGCGAACTAAGTGACCCACTACGGGACGTTTTCTCATGGTCTCTGCGAAAGTAAACCAAATAAAATACATTTTAGTAGGACAATAACGTACAATACAAATTAAAACTCACCATCAATGACCTTTTCCAAATATATCATCTCTCGCATGGAGTCGTAGTCTAGTTTTCCATTATGTTTCTCCAGAACGCTATCCACTTCCGTCCTTAGTTTGTCCTGAATATCCTGATTGGACGCCAACTCATAAAGAGCGAATCCCATGGTTGTAGAGCTAGTTTCAAATCCAGCCAGGAAGAATATAAAAGCCTGGGCGGCGATTTCATTAAATGTTAAACCATTTTGCTTGTCGCCATTATCGTATTTTAATTTCATATCAATTAGCATATCCATAAAATCGTTTCGTTTCACTTGGTTCTTTACGCGGTAATTCACGGTATTCTTAACGATATTCATGTAAAAGTCTTCGACCTTTTGGACATTAGCCTTCATACGCAACTTGGCAGCCAATTTCGGGGCACCAAACAGAAACAAATCCAAGGACTTTCCGTAACGTCGTTCGGTAATGGCAGCAGTTCCCATTTGAACAAACTCAGCCTTGGGATCCGACAAACTGTGGCAATCCAAGCCGAAGGCACAACTTCCGATGACATCGGCGGTGAAACGGGCCAGTATGTCTGTGATCTCCAAGGAGTCCTTACTTTCGGAAACCTTCTTATCGAACACCCGAATCATTTCATCACCCACGTTCAAAATGTTGGGGAACATGGTCTTCATTTTGCCAGAGGTAAATGTGGGGGTCAGTTTCTGGCGCAGGGTTTTCCACTTCTGACCCTCGATGTTCACCAGGTGAGCGCTCAGCGGGTCATCTCGTTCGTTGTGGAATGTACCGCGATCATGGAACTTGTCAAACTCGCGAATCAACACAGTCTTGGCGAAATCAATATCGGTGACAACTGCGATCTTTTTGAAATACATATAGAATCCCACAAACGGTCCATCGGTCTTGTTCTTATACTTGAAGTAGGTTCGCTTGAAAATATCCGATAGTTGCATAGTTTTCATCAACTTTCTAGTATTTCCGAATGGAATTTCGGGTGCATCGTGGGGAATTCCGCGTCTTTTCCAATAGTTGAAGTGCTGATGCACAAACCAAGCGGCGAGGGTTAGAACACCGACGAGCAGTACGATTAGAACGGCCATCACGATTGAACAGTACTAAGGACGGGCCTGCTCTTATATACCCCATTAGCTTTCTCTTTGCTCAGGTGACTGCAAAACGATAAAGTAAGAGAAACAAAGTCCGATTCGTATCGTAAAATGCCGACTAAGCGTTAGATTTTATTTAAAACGAGTTCGTAAAATTCTCTCTTAAGTTTTGCCTAGAATTAGATAAAAATATAAGGTTTACTTTACTTAAATATAACAACTTCACTGCTGCATTATCCAGTTTATTATTTAGGTTTTGTCTAATTTAAGTACAGTTCTATATCTTACTTTTTAGTTTTTATGAATGAGTAAATGCAAGTCATCGTTATGAGTGCTCTTTTTCTTTACGCTAAGCATGACTCTGCAATATAATACGTTAGCTTAAAGATAAAACTTCAATTTCGAACAAGGTGTAATATATAAAAACACATGCAAAACTAAGTCAAGCAGGTTCAATAAAACTGTCCAACATTTTTAAGGTTTTTGGTAAGTGCACGTGAACGCATAGGTGGTGTGGAATGTGGCCCAAATAATTAAGCTGCAAAATAAATTAAACTAAAAAAAAAGTTCAAAGTTGGGATTAAGAATTTACATTCTAGAGTTAATGACCCTAATGACCCAGTAGATAAAAGTCAAATGTGTAAAATGTAAAGTAGATAGAAATGTAAGCTTCGATGTATCTAGCAAGAACATCGTCAATATTATTGACTCAATAACGTCACAGCCTGTAGATAAAAGTTTAAAAAAATGTAAAGTAGATAGAAATGTAAACATTAATGTTTCGCCTCTACTTGAAGGTTTATTTATTTTGAAGCCGGTAAGATGAGTAACGGGTATCTGATAGTCGAGGCACACGAATCTTTCAAAAAAACATATATCATTTTTTTAAACTCAATAATGACTTTTAATTGGCCATTTGTTTTAATTTTTTTTTATCATATATAAAGAGGCAATTCAACTGAATATTTGTAAGGATAATTAAAGTCGGGACCTAGAAAAGGTAATCAATAAAAAGATAACGTTTTATTAAGATCATATTCAGCATAACTTTTGGAGAAATCAAAAATATATTTGGATAAGGTTAATAGTATTGATTGGCTTATAAACTGGGTATGTTAACAGAAACAGAACTTTTAATGAAGCCTTTATAATAACTGTTCCCAGTTGATATTTTGATCCGACGTTCTTGACCACGGGGGTGATGATTTTTCCATTGAAAGTAAATGAACTATCTTGATCCAATTCATGTGTTTTCAGCTAGCTTCCGATATTTTCCGACATGTTATTATTTATAAGCTCACCAAATCTGATCTCACTTTGTTTTTACGCCGCCATCGTAATAAGCTTTGTGAGAAGTTTTCATGTTTTAAATCTGGTTATTCAATAAAACAAGGCTAGAGTAGTTTAGATATAGGTTTCTATATTATACATCCTATTGTTATTGAGAATATAACAATGAATTCTTAATAGTGCACTATTATTTAATATTAGTCGTAACGACTTTTTGACTTTAGCCAAAGCTATTTTGAAACCTGTTCTAATTAGACCAGGCCATAAATAGAATGGGTGTGATTAAACAATAATTATTCTATTCTCTACACATTGAATAAATATAAACAAATTACAATGTTATCTCATGAATTGCTATGAGCTCATGTTCTCAATTTACAAATTGACTGATTCCCATGATAGAAAAACTTTTACATAAGACTGAGGGTGGGGAAAAGCTAAAACTTAACTGCATGTGAAAATTATCAGTAGTTAATACTTTTTATTGACCAAACTGCGTCGTTAACGCAGGGCCCTCAATAAAATCATAATTGTGTTTTATTATCTTTATGTCTTTCCAATCCTACTGACTTTTAAATGAATTCCACCCTTCGAACTCAACAGAATATTATCAGTCCTGTATTCTAGGGGTACGACAGTCTGTGTAGGATGCAACTCGAACTTGAAATTGTGGATAAGCAGCGCCATTCCCACGACGACCTGCATACGTCCAAAACGGAGACCAATGCAGTTTCGGGGACCATCTCCAAAGGGCAGGAAGGTGCAAGCGGGACGCTGTTTAACCTGATCCTCATCGAACCGCTCTGGGATGAACTTCTCTGGTTCGGGGTAGAACTCGGGATCATGGTGGATGGCCAAGGAGGGCACAATCACTCCAGTGCCTTCTTCAATGTTATACTTTGGATTGCTGTGTTCATATTGTTGAGTTGCAATGCGGATTAAGTGGCCCAACACGGGACGTTTTCTCATGGTCTCTGGAGATGAAACAAATATGAAATTCAGTAGGGAAATAAGGGAAAATGTGTTTGATTGAGCGGCTATTTAAGAAACTCACCATCAATGACTTTTTCCAAATAGGTCATCTCTCGCATGCTGTCATAGTCCAATTTTCCATTATGTTTCTTCAGAACGCTGTCAACTTCTGTCCTTAGTTTGTCCTGAATATCCTGATTGCACGCCAACTCATAAAGAGCGAATCCCATGGTAGTAGAGCTAGTCTCAAAACCCGCCAGGAAAAATATGAAAGCCTGGGCAGCGATTTCGTTAAAGGTTAGGCCATTTTCCTTATCGCCATTATCGTATTTTAATTTCAAATCAATCAGCATGTCCATAAAGTCATTTCGCTTAACCTTGTTCTTCACACGATAGTCAACAGTATCCTTGATGATGTTCATGTAAAAGTCCTCGACCTTCTGGACACTCTGCTTCATGCGCAGTTTGGCCGCCAATCTTGGGGCTCCGAATAGAAACAGATCCATCGACTTTCCATAACGTCGTTCGGTAATGGCAGCAGTTCCCATTTGAACAAACTCCGCCTTGGGATCCGACAAACTGTGACAATCCAAGCCGAAGGCACAGCTTCCGATGACATCAGCGGTGAAACGGGCCAGTATATTTGTAATCTCCAAGGAGTCCTTACTCACTGTAGACTTTTGATCAAATACCTTGATCAGTTCATCACCCACGTCCAAAATGGTGGGGAACATGGTCTTCATTTTGCCAGAGGTAAATGTGGGGGTTAGTTTCTGGCGCAGGGTTTTCCACTTCTGACCCTCGATGTTCACCAAGTTAGCGGTCAGCGGGTCATCTCGTTCGTTGTGGAATATACCACGATCGTGGAACTTGTCAAACTCGCGGATCAACACAGTCTTGGCAAAATCAATATCAGTGACAATAACCATCGTTTTGAAATACATATAAAATCCCACAAATGGTCCATCGGTCTTGTTCTTATACTTGAAATAGGTTCTCTTGAAAATATCCGACAGTTGCATAGTTTTCATCAGCTCGCTAGTATTGCCGAATGGAATTTTGGGGGCATCATGAGGAATGTCGCGACGCTTCCAGTAGTTAAAGTGCTGATGCACAAACCACGCAACGAAGGTAAGAACACCGACGAACAACACGATCAGAACTGCCATTTCGAAACGACTGAATAGTCCGAAAAGGGGAACCGGCTTTTATAGACGAAGTCTACCCGATTTGCCATCTCTTTACAGTCACCTGACTCTCTTTACGTCATAGCAGCGTTATTTTGCACTCAAGAATATTAGTTCTCTTAAGGATTTCCTATTACATTTTCCACATGTTTCCATTCCTCACTAAGAACATTAAATTTCTACTTACATTTGTAACTTTAGGGTATTAATGTATAATCACAGAATATTTTAATATTTTTATATTTTTATATTTTCTTGTGTCTTATCTTTGTTTTCCCTTGTTTACGTAAAGCTTACACATTGTATCTCTTTCATCTACAAACTATTGAAATTTACAATTTACAATCTTAATTTCAGAACGCTTTAAATATTTTGTAGTGAATGGATAAGTGCGAGTCATTGTTACTCGGGCCTTTTTGGTTTAAATTAGATGATGCAAGCTCTTAAAATTACTGTTCTCAGTAATTCTTTCGAGGCAACGGCTTGTGGGAGTCAGTATTTTCGGCCAAGTTGGCATTCCTAGTCAAGACATTACCCATGGTAATTAACATAAATAGCCCAGATGCAACCCTTCAGTAGCAAGAATCCGATCCTCGCTAGAATACCAAAAATACCATTTTATGGATTTTGAGGATTTTGTGCATCCTACATCCACTCTAGACGCCATGATTTCCTCCTCTTTGTCGCAAGCTTCTCCCGAGATCGGTTCGTTCCCTGCAAAAAGTGCTATAATTTTCAAACCCGTTCGCATCCACACATCCGCGTGTGAAATTCTAGGAATTTTGGTTGAGCAGTACGACCTGTTATCACTCCCAATATTGGTGGTAAGATTATTCGACGATATATTGAAAGAATCTAATCGCAATTCCTGGAAAACAGCAGTGACCAGAGACAACTGCAAATTCTCGGAATTGACGGAAGTTTTACAGTCCTCCCTCTGCGCACAGCAAGGAGCAGGTGCCGCGTGCAGCGATTCATCAGCGGAACCATACATTTCTTGAGCGCCAGGCCATAATCGCCATTTGGGATTTTTATACCGCACACCGCGTGAAAGGAATCGGTCTTCTTTGCCACACCTGGATTAATTTCATCATCGGCAAACCATAAGCGGCTTCAAGGATCGCCGCAGTCAACCCGCGTGAGGTTTTGACCTTGCCAAGTCCGCACGACGATCTACAAGTCAGATCACGTTGCAGTTCGGGCGAAAAACGCACCGGCGCCGGTTCGGCGTAATTCGGGCAAGACAGCGGAGGCGGACGCCGCATCCCAATTGGAATTTCAGTCCCAATTCTGGTTTCCAGTTAATTTTGGCCGGGACTGCCAACTCGTTTTTGTATCGCTAAAGCGATTGTAGTTTAATTTTCTTATTCTAAATATTTGTACGACAAGTTTCTAATTTAATTTACGATTCCTATTTAGCTTTTATACTTGCGTGTGTGCTTACGACATAGTATGACATATATACACCTAAATTAAATTATCCTACAGCGCACATCGATCGTCATCAGGCCTGCTGACTTCGTTGGAGAGTTCGTAAGTACGGCATAGCCGTAAATCATTTACATTC